CGGGGCTGCGCGGTTTGCCACGGCACAAAAGGAGAGCAGGCGCTGCCGTTAATGTAGTCAGTAAATAAATAAAGGAGGGCTTAAGCTTAGTGTACAGCAATCAGTCGGGAACTACAGGATAATTAACGCAGCGGGGGGCCGGACGGCTCTGCAGGCAGGTTTAAATGAACGAGTTCACTTTCATTGAGGCAAACTTGCTCTGCTCCCTGGTGAGCCGCATGGGCAGGCAGCAGCACAGGCAGCGTGCTGGGGATGCTCCCTGCCCACGGGGGCACTGACATTCCAGGGAGACCCCCGGCCCACTGGGGTTGGTTTAGGGATAGGACCTCCTCAATTTCCCCTTCAGAGCAGGCACCTCCAAACTCACCACTGTGGGCACCCCCATGGCTCACCCCAAGCTGGTGGGACGCATTCTTCCTCCACCTCCTCTTATTCCTCCTCCTCCTCCTCCTCCTCTTGATGGGCACAGGAATGGGAGACAGCAGGCTGAGACAACGGAATTAACTTTATTGGTTGTTCTTTTGTTTTCTAACTGCAGATTCAAGGTATACAACTGAACATTGCTATTTTCCTTATGAGACTTATAAATAAAAATACAAAAAATGTTCACTACAAAAAAATCTACCGTTAGTAGGATGTAAAAAATATTCTCTTTGCTATAGAAGGCACGAACTTCACTTAGTGACACATGGAGAGAAAAAAACCTGCAGCAGTATATTCTTCTTTTTTTTTGTCTTTTTTTTTCCTCTGTCAGAAACACTGAAGTCTTACAAAGAAATGCATCTGAATCTACACAGGACGAAGGCAGATGCGGAGAGCTGCAACTAGGAGACACCACAACTGTTTTTTTTTTTTTTTTTTTTTTTTCTTTATTTTTCAGGAAACTTTTAGCTAACGGCATCTGTGGCTAGAGGACAGAAAGAGGACTCGCAAGCAGAACCGCAGGGGAGCAAACGGTGAGACAGGAAAAGTCGTACAAAAAATAGGAGCCGATAGATACTCTGAGAAAACCAAAGGGGAACTTGGGCACCTTCTGCGCCCGGGCTCAGAGAGGTGCTGAGGTAGACGGAACGAGGACAGCGACGGACCCGAACCACGAGCGAAAACACAGAGCAACGGGACGGGCAGGCGGGCGCTCACGACACTGACACCAAGCCAGGGGAGAGGGAGCCCGGGACCACGGGGCCCCGTGCGGCGCTTGGTCCTCACTGCTATGATACACATATATATACTTACATATATATATATGGAGGGGTGGCAGGGGCTGCGCCACAGCCAACGGTGCGGGGACGTGCGCCCGGGATACAGCAGCATCACTCCAATGCTGACCCCAACACTGTTGCAGTGGGGGCTGTGTCTCTGAGGGAGAGGGATGGTGGGATGGAAGGGGAGGTTAAAGCAAAAAAAAAAGCCACATGAGCTTGGCCACGTGCTCCATGGCACCATGGCACCCGTGTCTGGCAGCGCCAGGACACCACGGGGACCTGCCATGCACACGTCAGAAATTGCAGCAACTTTCTGTGTGAAAGAACTGTTTTCTTTTTTTTTAAAGTATTTTTCCTGTTTTTTTCTTAGGCACAACAATGAAACGAGCCGTTCTCCACAGTCACATCCCGGATTGTACAGCAGCGGTGCCCTCCCTGCGCAGAGCAGCAGCTGTCCCACACGCAGGGGCACACGCACGTGCAAAGCCGGACTGGGGCGCCAGGCAGGACGCTGCTCCCACAGCCCTATCCCTGCTTGGCACCAGGAGAGGTGGGAAGGGCACCCCAAACACAGAGGGGCCATCAGTGTCCCTCCAAACTGTCCAGACACTGTCCCACCACCCCCACCCCCAGCTCCTTTTCCCCCCTTTTCACCCAAACGCAGCAAAATGACAAAAAAAGAACCGTGGGATGGAACCACCAAGCCCGCGGCTGCGCAGGAGAAACACAACAAAAACAAACACAAGAGGTAGCTTCAGAACCAACACCCCCAGCCCCATGGGGCCAGGCAAAAAATACCAGTTTTGGTAAGGATAATGCACAACAGGAGTCTGGCAGGGACACCAGTGCCCCACCACCTCTCCACCACCAATGCTGGGCACGTGGCTGGTGCACCCCAGCCATGCCAACCCCTGTCCCTCCCAAATCAATAAAAGCTCATGAGGTCACAAAAAAATGAGGTAATTTCAAGTAAAATGTGCTAAATGCGGAAATATTCCAAAAGAAAGTTCAAAAAAACCCAAACAAAAAGCAAAAAAAGCGGCGAGCAAAGCCGCCTGCCACGGGGCACCCCTTACTTGTGGGCTCCTGTGGCTGAGGGCTGGGCAAAAAACCCCACACTTGGCACCTTCTAGGTGCCCCAAATCAGCAGAAGAAAAGAGGATCCCTGCATTCAGAGTGATGCCACATACTAACAGCTCCAACACTGGCACTGACTGCATATCACCAAACCAACTGCATCTCCCCATGAGGGGCTTCACCCTTGCCCCGGGAAGGCAGGGAAGGAGGGAGAAATGCATAGAGACATCTTTGGTCATGGGGAGAGCAGCAGCATCCTGTGCCCCTGAGCCCACCTGGACACCAGGCAACAGCTCAAGGCAGCCTGGCTCCCAGCTGGCTCCCTGTCCCAAACACCCTCCTCTGGCCAGGATGCCCCCAGGACACTCTTGCCAAACCACTTGTGGCTCACAGGGCACTGTGCTCTCCTGCCTGCGATGCTGCAGCCTGGGAGCATGAGAACCTGCCAGAATGGGGCCCAAGCCCACATGGGAGCTCAGGGCCTCTGCAGGGCATCCACGGCAGGGTCTATGCAGTGACAGGACACCAGGAATGAAAGCCTTCCCAGAGCACTAGCTGTACACACACTTTCAGGGAAGCGCCTCTTTCCTACATGGTCTTCCCAGCAGCACCAGTGGCCAATGCCAAAGGTGACGGGGGGCCTGGCTGGGGGTTCAAAGGGTGAAATCTGCCCTGCAGCAAGGGTGAAAGGGCAGCAGGCGCATGAGCAGCTGGGACAGCAGTTTGGACGGGGCGGGAGAAGGGGCCGGTGTGTCGCTCAGTCCGGCGTGAGCTGCAGGATCCTTCCGGCGAGAAGAAACGAATGAGAACTGAAAACAAACAAGGCCATGGATGCTGCGGGTTTGGTGGGATTTTTTTTTTGCCCAGTCATCTGCCACTTGGCCCTGCTGCCCCTCTGCCTCCTCCCTTAGACGTAGCAGAGGTAGAGATAGGTCTTCTCTATCCGCCAGTCAGTGGGGATCTCCTCTGGTTTGTGGCCCTTCATGTGCTTCTGCATGGCGGAGAGGCTGGGGCAGTACTCCAGGCAGATGGTGCACTGGTAAGGGGAAGCGCCATTGTGGGTCCGAAGGTGTTTGATCATGGCCGAGTAGTCCCGGGAGCGCTGGTGGCACAGCTTGCACTCAAAGGGCTTCTCACCTGTGGGATACAGGGTGTCAGTGCTAACCAACTGCCCAGCATCAATGCTGCCACAGTGGGCACAGCTGATAACCCAGGAACGAGCAGCAGAACCCATGTGACTATTGATCCCTGTTTACAATAGTGACATGCCGGCTCATCGCGGGTTTGTTAGCCCTGGCTGCCACCCTGGTCCACATGCCAGCCCTTCCACCAGTCTGTCCTTGCCAGCCTCGCCGCAGACACCCCAGCATGTACCTGTGTGGACTCGGTAGTGGGTCTCCAGCTGGTGCTTGAGGCTGAACTTCTTGCCGCAGCCGTTGCACTCATAGGGCTTCTCCCCGGTGTGGATGCGCTTGTGGCCCTTCAGCGTGCTCTCGTCCCGGAAGCAGCTGCCGCAGAACTCGCACTCGTAGGGGTGGTCACCTGCAAGCACATGCCGGGGTCAGGGCTGCCGTGACTGCTGTGCCACACCAAAACCAGCTCCAAAGCCTTTTTACTCCGGGCAGCCATCCTGAGGACAGAGCGTCCCAGTGTCCCCAGTGCAGTGTGCTGGTCCCTCCGTGCACAGACCCTCCTGTACAGAGGAGATGCTCGGGTCTCAGGCACGGTAGAGACTGGAGCGTGCTGCAACCCTCCCACCACCAATTTCCAGGTTTTTCACCCAGCAGCACCAGCACAGACCCAGCCCTGGGCATCTCCCACACTCTAGACCAGGCGGCTGATAAATGAACTCTGGTTTGGCACCAAAGGCAGAATGATTTGAAGGAAAGGTGAGGGCTCCAGCTACTTATTTATTACAGCCGCGAAGGCAAGGACAATAAAGATAGATTGATCGTCCGAGACTTTGTTCATGAATATTTAAATATTACTGATTTGTCTTGTCACTGTAATTACAATTTCTCTGTGCCGCATATCCTACAAGCACAGTTTATGGTAAAGAATGGCGAACTGTATTTCACTTGTCCTGCTGCAGATGTGCGGAGCTGCCAAGCGTGTAATGTTCCCCGCATTTCATACATTTTCTTCAGCTGTGAAGGCTTAAGTCATCCACAATGACCTACGTTTTTTCATTATCCCCGTGTCAAACTGCACTCGTGCCTGGGCATAAATTGTCCTTCTCGTTATATACTCACATGCCTGTGCTTTCGCTTCCTCTTTAAAATGATATTTTACTCTCTCCCCATTTGCCGCAGCCCAGCTCTGCGGCCCCTCGCCCCTCCCGCAGCTGCTGCCTGGGCACCTGGGGGGAGGAGGATGCTCGGATGCAGCTCAGAGCCCCCCTCCAAAGGCAAGGCAGGCGGTGCCTGTGGCCGTTGTTGACTTTCCCCTCCTGTGCCCAGCTCCAAACTGCCACTTTGGCTTTTGATCCTACAGTCAAAGACAGATTTTTCAGTCAGAGGCAGACCGCATTTCTATCCGCCCACTTTTCAGGGGAGCCTGAGCCCCTGGAGCACCCTGGCCATGGGACAAGAGGGAGCATCGTGCAGCTGTGCAGGACGGCACCACACGGCACGATTAAACGCTCCTAAAGCGCCGATGATCCCAGTGTTTTTTCACAGCCGGGAGCTACTAAAGCAGCAGAGGTTGGGGTGGGACACGCGCAGCCCGACCCGCAGCCCAGGTCACCGGATTACTGGCTATAAATAGCTCCAGCACTCAGCATTAACATGCTTATCATCGACACAGGATTCCCATTTCCACATCGGGACCCCTAGCCCACGTGTGGGTCTGGCAGCTGCCAGCCACAGGCTGCGCAGAGCGACCCTCTGTGACACCACCTGCACAACCCCCAGCAGCCACCTTTACATCCCTTTTGGAGATTGTGCGCATGGCCCCTGCCTGACAAGAGAAAGAAAAGGAGCATCCCTCCTCAGGATACATTTTGTTCCCTGTCAGCAACAACAGTGGTGTCAAGGAGGGCACATAAGCCTTGCACTTGTGCGGGCAAAGGATGGGTGAGTAGTGCTTCACGCAGGCAGCTGTGAAGATCCGTGGCACTGGCTGTGATCCTGCACGGTCCTGCTCATCCCCCAGGAGCCAGCTCTTTCAGGGCTGTTTTGTGACTGGCCCCGAGTGACGGTGCTGGCGATGTGGCCAGGACCACGGAGCTGCCCAGGGATGCTGTCGGAGGAGCTGAGGACACGGCGCGGGCGCTTTGAGGACACGGCGTAAGGCGGCCAAGCCGGGCTCTCCCGCTCGGCAATCCTGCAGCCCAGCCCTGCCCCAGTGGGGCCACGGCAGCACCAGCTACACGTAGCGCAGGTCGCCCTAATCCCATTAGGGCTGAGCACCAGCTGATTATGTGCATCTACCGCCGTAAGCTGATGAGGCGGATATGATCGCACACCCCCTAAGAAGGTCACGTGCCACCTCAGACCAGATCAACTTATTACACACAGCTTTTTTTTTTTTTTTTCTGTTTTGTTTTTCAAATCCAAGCCATTTCAGGCACCTCCATGCTTTTTAAACACAAACCACCTCTCTTCCCCCTATTTCCTTTCCAGGCGTGGGGAAGGAGCACGTCCCGGCTGCCCCAGCCCGAGTCCCCTGCCGTACCTGTGTGGGAGCGCAGGTGCCTCTTGAGCGCGGTGTGGCTGGGGAAGGTGCGGTTGCACTCGCTGCAGATGTAGCTGCGCACCCCGGCGTGCACCTCCATGTGCTGCTGCAGGGCGCTCTGCGTCTGGAACCGCTTGCCGCACAGCAGGCAGAAAACAGCCATGTCGGTACCTGTGCGGGAGGAGAGACCCTGCTTAGGCACTGCCTGGCACCCCTGGCCCACCACCCCACTGTGGGGGGGTCCCACTCCCCCGTGGCAGCAGGGATGCTCGGGCAGCAGAAGGGACCCCAAGAGCTGCAGGGCTTTGGCCGCCATTGGGAGTCCCTGGCCACCGCGAGCCTGCTGACACTGGCCCAATGAGGGAAAGAGACGAAGGGGAGAAGTTGCTCGCATTGCACTGGAGGCAGCTGGGAGCCCTGGCAATGCCGAGGGACGCCCAAACACAAGGCAGCTGTTGGGTGATCGCTGCATCCCCACACACCTCTGAGAGCTGCTGAGCCCAGACCTTGTGATGCCCAAGGGAAAGGGAACCCCAAAAAGCACCCCATGACGCTGCCCTGGGGAGCAGGCAGGATGTGAGAGGGGGACGTGCCCACCCCTTGTGCTGCATGTGGCCCTGAGCCCCAAGGCAGATCCAAGCTCCATACCATCACTCTTGGGTACAAACCTGGCTGCAGCAATGCAACAGGGACAAAACCCCAAGCCAGGTGCTTGTACCCCGTCCATAAACACCTCAGACCTCTAGCCCTAAACAGTTTGTTTTCGCTTATGCATAGCTGATTGTTCAGAACTGTGAGTCACTGCAAATTGTATTACACAGGGAGATTAAGCAAATAAATGCTCGCTTTTTGGAGACATTAAAATGTGAGGACTATGGAAATAAAATTAGCTAGAAAATTGTATTAGCAATTCATTAGCAGCACAAGATGTTCAAGGTAACCAACAAATCTGTGCAGCCTTCAGGAACAGCAGGGGCAGAGGGCTGCTTGCCACACTACCAAAACCAACCCCAGGGACACCACCAGGACCGCAGCACCACGGGGCAGGGACACGATGGGCAGCAGCACTGTCAGCGGCACGCAGGCAGGGGACAGGGAAGGATGCTCCTGGGCAGATCCACACCTCCAGCTTGGGAGCCACGGGCAACGGGCATCCCGGAGGGCATCCTGGTTCACACATCACCTGCTCTGGCATCGTGCCATCACCCACCCAGGTGTGGCGGCACCTCGTGTTCAGCTCTGTCCTGCTGGGGACGCAGAGGCTGCCTGGGGAGATGCTCAATCTCAGCCTTGCACTGGGCTACCCTAAAATGCTCTGAAATCTGAAAAAATCCCCAGTGAAATGGGAATAAAAGCAGCCAGAGAGGTGGCCCCGCATGGGAGCTGCCTTTCTCCCTCAGCAGGGATTTATCCCGGGGGGTTGTGGGCTCATGTGCCCCCCACGCAGCTGCGGACAAAACGCTCCCGAGACAAAAAAAAAAAAAAAAAAAAAAAAAAAAATCCTATCCATTTGAAATAAAACAAAAAAAAAAAAAAAAAAGCAGGCAGAATGTAACAGATATGAGAAACAGCCCAGATGAT